TCACCTTTACCGCTGAGCGTGTAGTGTGTTTTATTTGCTACACGCAGGTAAGCAGAAAGCACAATGTGATCCTGGCGGCAGATGGGGCGAGATTGTCGGGATGGATGTGACAAGTTTGAAATGATTTATGATATGTCAAAATTAAATTCGCTTCCGCAATATTGTTGAATACTCCGTACTGTATATGTTATAAAAAAATTATTGGGATTAATAAAGTGTGTTTGAAAAGTTTTAAATTTTTACGATTACCAAGTTAATACTTTAGTCCGGAAGGGGCTGCAGACCTGGACGGATTAGGGTGTTACAATTTGGTATCGGAGCAAGTGGTTTTAAAACCGATCTTCGTATCAAATTTTTAAAAATAAAAAAAATGTCAGTCACATCCACGACTCTCACATCCCTCTGCTCCAGAAAAGGTATGAGAATTTACTAGATAAATATTGACTTTGTTAAAATTTTTATTAGATAACAATTGTTAGTACTGAGATTATATCGAGCATAGACTCAAGTAGATTTTTCGTTCTCGGTGAAGAAACGAAAGAAAAAAAAAATTGTGATACTTTATCAACGTACTTATCATTTCGCGAATGACAAAACTGATCTATCTCGCAAAGTCGCATAGAAGTGAGACGACTATGAAGAAACGCCTAATGTTGAATAACATTCGCGAAGCTGCTGTCAAAGATCCTCATGTGGACTGAAGATGAACGTTTAGAATCAATAAACTCTGTTGTCTAAAAGTATCCCATTCTGATGCCTAACTCATTACGATGCAAATATGCAATTATATTATACGAATCGAAATCGTTCGTTCAGCAACAATTCCTTGCAAAACCTTGTTGAAATATCCTACAAGGAAATTGACGTTATCCTTATCTCATATCTATGACTTATTTGATCAGCTTAGAGAATCCATTGTGCTCTCTAAGATTGACTTACAGTCAAAGATACTATCACATCTCTGTTAAAACAGACAAACTGACGATCAAGAATCACTACCCTTTACTAAGCATTGACAATTTGTTTGGTCAAAATCAAAGGAACCTACTTAGAAGCTATGGATAGCTCAATCTTGTTGAATGAGGTGACACATTGTTATGACACGATTATTGACTTAAACATCGATGTATTCTAATAGAATAAATATCCGTTGTCAACTCGTCAAGAATCCTAACAAAGGAATTTCTGTTATTGTAGAATGAGTCAAGAAACCGCTCACGATCAAAGTAACCAAGTGCCAAACGATGGGCACGAAAATGTTCACACCGAAGCATCAAATTTCACATCTCCTATTCAACCTGAACAAGTGAACTCACTACATGTTCCCCAAAATGATCAAAATATTGGAGATCAACCTGACGCTATGCTACCTACCTTAATGGTAAACTTCTTACAACAAATGACTAATGCCCCTGTGTTTCAACCACCTCCACCACAACCTCGTTTGATCACTTTCAAAACCTTGAAAGATAATGGTGCTGAGGAGTTTCTAGGAGATCGAATTGCCGAACCCCAAATTGCTCTTGAATGGATCGAGCAGACCGCTCGTGTACTACAAAATTTGAACATACCTCTCGTTGATCATCCAAAATTTGCATCTCAATTGCTCCGCAAGGAAGCCTACGAATGGTGGAAACGTACTGACGAAAATCCAAACACACCCAAACCTTGGACTTGGGAATTCTTCGATTGGGCGTTCAAGAAGGAATATATACCAGCTCGATTCCGTGAAGAGAAACGTGCTGAATTTATCGAATTAAAGCAAGGAGATATGACACTCCCTGAATACCGACAAAGATTTGTCCATCTCGCTCAATTTGCACCCACGCTGGTGAGTACAGCGGC